AACACAGTTGATCAGATGGGTAGATGGGAAGGAAACAAATGGGTTTAGAACCTTCCTTGGAGATGCACCTTGCACTTTTGGGAGCAAGAATCTATGCAAGAACTCAAAAGACTACTCAAGGAGATCAACCTGACCAGAGGGAAGGAAGACACTTGGACCCGGGAACCAGATAAATTGGGAGACTACTCAGCTAGCTTGAGATATAGTACTTTGATCCAACATCAACCCTCACCTTACCAACAAGTTTTTGAGAAGATTTGGAGCCCCGTGATTCCAAGTAAAGTATGTGGGTTCACTTGGTTGCTATTACTTGATAAGACTCCTTCAAAAATTAACTTGCTAAAAAAGGGATTAATTAAGGAGATGGAGGCCACAAATTGTAGTCTTTTTGGACAGAATATGGAAGATAGCAACCATCTTTTTCTCCACTGTCCAGCTACCGTAAAAATCTGGGCAATGTGTACCAATGGTGGGGCTTCTCTACAGCCATTGTTGGTTTATGTTGGGATTCTTTCATCCAACATGAATCCTTAGTCACTAAAAGTAATGAATGGCTAGGTTGGGTCACAGTTTGGTTTTCTCTTGTTTGGGCCATCTAGACTACCAGAAACAATATAATCCTTAGAGATGGATCCTTTGATTCGACAAAGACTTTTGATCAAATTCAGGTTCAAGCCTTCCTTTGGGTCAAAAACAAATGAAAGGAAGGACAATTTTGTTTCTCTGATTGGATTCTCAACCCCAGGTGCTGCAAGATTTTGTAAACGAACCTCTTAATGCTGTACTTTCATTTCAATAGGTGCTGATTAATGTATATAAGTTTGAGTATCCCTTGTACTTATTTTTTTTTAAAAAAAAATCTTTGCCTTTTGAAAAAAAAAATTATATGGGTTTATATGAGACCCACACCATGATTAATGATTACCAAATTCATCTTAAAATTTTATCATAACCATTTTTATTAATTTTTAATTACTGGTTTAAGAGCTTTTTCTATTAGCAATAACAATTTTTTTAATTATTTACATTACTCAAACCCATATATAATAAGGAAAATGATTTAACAACAATTTTTGTGTATAACTTTTTCATCATGATTTAAAAATTGACTCTTTTCACCTTATTAAAACTCGTAATATTACATATCTTAATTCATTTAATAACATAGAAAAAAATAATTGTAAAAAAAAAATTTGTAGAAATAACAAGATTGTTTGCGTATTATTACCTTAAAGTTATATGATAATTAACCCAAGGTTTTAAGAGCTTTTATTTAGAAGAATTAGAAGCTTGCCAATTTGGAAAGTGAAGAATAATGGGAACGTAGTGAACTTTGAAATGTTTTTTAAATTGTCCTTTACTAAATATCCCTTTCTTCACGTCATTTTCTGAATTATAGTGATAAAAGATGATTTTTCCGGTCAATCAAGATCTCTACACTTGCAAAATTACAAGACCATAAGTTGATCCATCTTCATCAACTTTAATTTTCCATGAGCTTCAATTTTATTTTTTATTTTTTTTTAAAAAAAGGTTGATATTTGTAATGCTTGTGAGAGATCACACCATTTGCCATTTGTCGTCTTTCTTTCTTTTTCTCTTCCTTTCCAATTGTGTTGTTCATATTTAATTTTCTCTCTTTTTGCTGTTTAGTCCAACTTTTTTTAATAGAGACGATCAAAAGAGGGAACGTG